TGTAAAGTGTCTTTGAGTATTTAGAAAAGTGCTTATAAAATAAATGTATTATAAACTGCTACTTCCACAGACAGAATCAATAGCATATTTAAGCTCCTTTGGTGTGTGTGGCTAATACACTTTTGCAAGTAACAGCCAATTGAGTATTTACTAATGACAAGAAAACCTCCAGTGTAAATCTATTTATTTTCATTGATTCCACCTGTGGGCCGCAAGTTGTGTATCACTCTTATACAGTATTTTTCAGTTTCTGTGGCTCAGTTTTCACAACTGAGTTTCAATTTTGCAAAAGTCTGAACATGGAATGCTAGACTCTTACAAAAGGAAGACATCTTTAGGTGATGAGGTAATACATCACGCAGCATGTTTATCAGAGCATCCTAGCATTGTATATGTTCATCAATGAATTTATTAAATAAATGTTGCAGTTTATACAACAAATAAACAACTACAAATAAAAGCAATGAGCTCCCAAACTTAAGACACAAACAAGATAAGATCATTTAATAGGTAGATAGGCTTTAGAAGAGATTTAAAAGAGGACACTGGGTTTGCCTATGTTGCCTTGAGACCACTACAGTCTACGGTGGTCATTTCCTTTGTGGTAATGAAATTTAAAGTTCCAGTGTGCAACATTTAGGAGGGTCTATTGGGAGAAATAGAATATATTATTCATACATTTTAATTCTAAAAGTAAGAATCATTATGTTTTTGTTACCTAGTAACCATTCGCAGCCACCATAGTTTCTTCTTCTTGCTTGAAAGGGGAGGGTGAAGCGAGGCGAGTTGCAATCTGCAACCTCATTGATAGATGCCATTGAATCCTACACACTGGACTTTTAAGTAGGAGTCAATGTTTGAGTAAGAAGGACATTTGAAAACTTTAAGTTTGTTTATTGTAAATGCTGTCTGACTGTAAGTACAGATGATGATGTCTGACGTTACCGTGCAGTAGATCCTACATTCATACAAGACAAAATGATAGTGAGCGTACCTAACTGCCTCAGTTTACTGTTTTTATTCATACCTTGGATGTTTTTCTTTTAGTTATATCATTGAAAATGGAATAAGCTATAGTAATACTGTATTGTGATGCTGGAAAGCATGTAACATGAAACTGCAATTTGAAACAGACACATTCTAACAGTAATGGGAAAGAAAGAAATGATTTTTGCCAACACCGCCTTACATTTGAATTGCAATGCTGCTCAGCAGAGTAAAGGTGTTAAAGTTTTGTAGACACACACTGCATTCATTCAGTGATCTCTACGAGTAAAGGGCACTGAAACTTGAGCTAACACGAGGTCTGTGTATTCTGAGGACTGTGACCAACACATCATGGGTTTTACAATTTGTGCGCAAGGACAGCATCTGGTGTTTAAAGGTAAAAGTCAGCTCGGCTCTTTGCTTTCAGAGTTTTGCTTAAAACTCTTTTGTGAAAATGGAGCCAGCAATTGTACAATACTTGAATACCTGTAGATAATTCATTTATTCCTGAACATACCTTGACACCAGGCCAGGATTAACCATTCATGGACGTCATAAGTCACTTTTAATATGATAATGCCTGTCACAGTGCAAGAAGAAATTACATTCATAATCTGGCCACAGTCACCTGATATCAGTCTTATGAATCACCTTCTGGATGAACTGAACACAGCATTAATGCAGCAGCTTGTGCAGTTCTGCAGAGGTGTCATCAGGCTTTACTGAACGAGGGCTACATTTTCATTAACCTTTCATCTCTCTGTCTTCCTCCCTCGCTTCTCCTCCTCCTGCTCTCTCAGGAGATGATCAGCCGTCAGATGAACTCGGTGTTCAAGGAGCTCCTGTCTCGCCAGCCTGCCGTGCAGCAGTCCACCCTCGCCAACCCTGCCGGTCCTGCTCCCTCTTCCTCCTCCTCTTCCTCTCTTCCTCCTCTTCCTCTCTTCCTCAAGCTGCCCCCACTGCCAAAAAAGTAGGATTTGGGCTCAGAGGACGGGCCCTTTTCAGACCGGTGGACTAAGAGAGAGCAGAGGATGACTGGAATTACTGATTTATTATTTGACGATAATGATTATGCTGATGCTGATGATACATTTGGTGAAGATCTTGATTTATTTTTTTGACACGTGTATAATATTTGCGTCTCTGCCATCTCATAGTGCCATTAGTCCCGGTGCCGTGTTACTGTACGTCCAGTGTGTCTGTTTTCCAGCTGGTTTTTGGTCTTTTTATGTTCTGGTCTGTTTTTGTTCTCCAGGCTTTTGCAATTTTTGGAGAATCAGGGATGTGACATCGCCAGTGATATCACCAGACTGACTTTTTAAAGTGGTTGCCATGATACAACAACAAAAGACTTAAGCTGCCCCCTAGTGGCTCACCCTTATAATGTTTGCTTTATTTGAAAAAAGGAAAAAAACTCTTGACTATTGACTCATCACATGTATTTCACTTGAAAAATACCAGATAGGTTTGAACAGCATAATATGTTTTTTTTTTTAAATCATGTGATCTGGGAGGGTGTTTATGGAACCCCAAAGTGTTCAATATACAATAATGAAATTATGAAATCAATAATCATACAGATAAACTGAAGTAATTCAACCAACATTTAAGGAAATAATAATAAATAAGACATTTTTTAAAATCAACTCATTACTTTGAAATGTTATTTCACAAAAAAAGACTTCTTATTTTATAAAGCCATTTTTCCTGATTACATTTCATGATGTCACTTGATGCCAACGGTGCTGTCACCACCATCTCACCTTTGAGCCAATCACTTACTGTAGCAACTGCTGGCATCAGCCAGTTGACTCATTCTAGCTAGAGCAACAACAGTGTCAATGTTATCCTGAATAAACTCCCTCACACAGGGAGAAAACATGGACAATGTGGACAATGAGACACTACTAATTAATAAATTACATAAAATAATATTCCTAAAATAATTTCATTTAATGTATTTATTCTTTGTAAACAATACGACATCACCATAACAACATATTGTCATGCGTGTTTGGTTTGGTTTGTTGGTGCTGTAGGGTATGTAAATGTAGCATTAGCCTAACCAGGCTACTAACATAAATGGCCAGCTAGCTAGGTGGGCTTGTGAGTTCGAAGTGTTAGCACTGTTAGCTATATGGCTAACTTGTGTTGGCTTGAGTGACAACAGAGAAAGCCTGGCTGTCATTTTGTTCACCACAGAGTTGTGTCACAGTATCAGAATGTGACAGTCATTTTGAATTAACGAGCTAACGTCGTCTCTTTGTCTCTATGCTGAGTAACAAACAAAGCTAAAGGAAGTAACGGGAGAATTGGGTCTGGGTCTGTGCAGGGTGCTGTGTTTATTCACAGTAGCAGCTACATGGTTGATTCAGAATTACTTTGACATTGCTTTAGCTATCAGGAGCTAACTGTGTTAGCAGTGTTCAGGGGGTTTGTGAAAGGTGAAAGGACGGTGGCTACACCACTGTCATAAAAAGTGGCATTATGTCATAAAATATTTCCTACAATATGTGATGAAAACAGCGATATTGTTTCATTGATATCAAGGGGCATCGGACTGAATCCGACACAGTGTTAGGCATTAAGAGTAATTACATTGAAATAGCCAATCTTCTCGCTCATGGTTTTGTTTATGTGGGTCATATAGAGGCATCAGTATTAAAATTAGACTGTTTCATAAGCAGTAACCAACTCTTTGTAGAACGTTTAATATTGAACATTTTGGGGCTCCACAGATGTTCTCTTGGAGAACTGTGAACAGTGAAGTCAGTACTTTATAGCAGCATGCAGCACACACACACAAAGATGGAAAACACATTCCCCTTCATATGTGATACATGGCCTGATACACAGGCCAAAACTCAGGGCTTTTGCAGAGTTAGAGACGGGCTAACTCAGGTTTGGCTTCGAAGGAATAAGTAAGAGTTTCTCACTCAGGGCTTTGGTTCAACTGGAAACTGTGCCCTAGCCTCAAGAGCCAAAATGGCCCCCATAAGAGAGGAATTCCTCTGATTTAAACTGTGAATGCAACGGCGACATTTTGGAGCCACGATCAAAACTCTTTTCTCATTCATCCACACATTTTGGCCCCCCTGACTATATCTAGCAACATCCACAGGTCCCATTCAAATGTGCGTTTCAGGATTTTTGCAGTGTACAATTACTTTGACTCCAAAAACATTTGAAATGTTTTTTACGTTTTCCCCTCTGTTGTGTTTCAGTATTGGAAACATAGAAGTAGAATCCTTTTTTCAAACTGATTCTGCTTCTATGATTGAAACGCCCTGTTGTTCTGGATCACTGTTTGATGATGTCACTAAATTTACTGTGTCCGATTGTATATGTGGTAAAAAAAATATGAATACAATAAAGATGATAAAGTGGTGAATGATTAAAGGTTGTCAGTGTATTTGAATTTCTCTGGGGTTACCATGTGGGCGGAGCTGCCACATATTTACTCCAAACTTTTCCAGCTCCTAAAACTGTAATTTTAAAAACAATATTCAGTCATCGCTGTGGCCCTGACCTGTCCGGAGCACCAAAATAGGCAATAAATAGTAGGAACAGCACAGTCAGATTCACTCAACCTAAAGCATATCTACCAACTAAACAATGCAAACAACCAAACATTAAAAAATGTAATCTAATCTGAGGAATAAATCAGAATATTAGAAAATAAATATACAAAAGGCTGCATCCTCAGACTGAGAATATTTTCCAGACTCTCTTTCTCTTTGTCAGAGAGAGAGACTTATACAACAAGAGAAAGATAAAAGGGAGATGGATAATAACTAAATGTGAGGAATGAAAAGCTGGGGGAGAAAGGTGAGACAGGGAACTAACCACATGTCTCAGTGAAATAACAAGCCTTTAGTTGTTGGGTTTTTCCCGCAGTGTATATGCTCAAGTAGGGACACTCACCCACTGCCTCCCATACCAACCCTGCCATCACATAGACAAATGTATAGATCTGCCACTGCTGTTCTAACTCATCACTGTGTGCAATGAAGTATCCACTGAAATGAATTGCTCATTACATTATTGGCGTGAATGTTTGTGTGTTTCATTGTTTCAGTTTCTGTGTTACGACGGCACCCAAGTGTTGTAACAAGATCTTTTAGACCCATCCGCTCCTCCTCCTAAAATAACCCCTTGCCACAGCCACCCAACACACACACACACAAGCACACACCCACACACAAGGAATAAGAGGCACTGTACCACATTAGCACTTCTGCTGCTCTAAGTCAGTGTCAAACTCTCTAGGTGTCTGTATGAGTTCTCATTTGCCAAATCAGCTCTGAGGGACATTGTGATTAAGAGGCTGAACTGATCTCATTGACATTTTAGATTAGCACTCTCTGCAGGGCTCCCCTGCCCCCTCTCTGCAAGCGTCTCTGTCACTGATACAGGATTAAGATAGCACTTTAAGTAAGGTAAGTGAGACATGATTCATCATTTCTACTGTTAGTTTGCCCGTCGTGGACCTGCAGTGATGGCTTCTAACCAAGGACATGAGTTATCACCTCACAGCACCTGTTATCATATATATATTATATATATATGTTATATTTAATATATGAAAGCTGATTAAAAGTTTCTTAATCAAAGCCTTTAAATGATTTTTGATGAAAGAATTTTGCTAAGAATACTTATATGGGATGATTATACTATGTGTCTTTCATTTTATAAATGTCCCAGCTGCTATTTACAGATTTTGGTATGACTTCCTTTTTGGGGGCTAAAGAACAGGTGGCAGTGCCAGTGCAGCTCGCTGTTACACTCTACATGCTTGCAATCTGCTACAGGAGTGTATTTGTGTGTGTGTGTGTTGTGTGTTGTGTGTGTGTGTGTGTGGTGTGTGTGTGTGCGTGTGTGTGTGTGCATTGGTTTACAGTATAAATGTGTGCACATCAGGAGAGGGCCAATGTGGGTATCCCCATGTGTTTGATTGTGTTCTTCTGTCTTGATACATGTGAAAACAAGCACGTTGCTCTTCCCCCAGTGAGGATGATGATGGTGAGTGACGACTGTCTGGTGGAGTGTGAGATCGATGACAGTGATGAGGACGAGGGAGAACAGAGAAACACTCCTCCACCTCCTCCTCCTCCAGAGTTTGCATCCAAAGCCCCGACTCCAGCGCCCAAACCTCCGACCCCTCCCACAACCCCTGCTACGCCAACACCCACCCCCACCCTCACCCCCACCCCCACAGGTCCTGTCAACAGGGACCCTTATGGCATCAACCAGCACCTAAAGGTTCCTTTTCTCATTTCCTCCCTCTATGAATCTACATTGTATGCTAAGACTTTTAACTACCTCCATCATCTGACATTGATTCTGCAGCTGTATTTATGGTCCTTTTATTATTCTGTCCCTCCTATTGTTTTTGATATTTGGGCCCAGTATGTTATTCATAATAAACACCTCTCCACTTAATGGTTACATCCTCCTTGGAGACCCACAGAGTTATAATTATCCAATATTTCATATTCATCTTGTGACTCACTGGAGGGGCC